TTTATTTGCTCATTGCAACAACACGAAACGCAAATGTTAAGTAAAAACAAAAGAGGAAGAGTATATAAAGAACGAAATACATGTGATGACAAGCACGTGGATGAACAAGGCTGTCTACTCGATGAAACGTCATGCTTCATTGATTCATGTAAACATACGTTGGTTAGAAAGAACCAATTAATGACGTCAGTAATGATAAATACAGAATAAATTCAATTGCAAGCACACAAAAAAAAATATAAACTGCAGTGTCATCTAGTACGTAAGTGTGTTTAGTGTCCAATAATACTAGACTAGTGATAAAGTTAAAGTTGCCACTAAAGAGAAACTACAAACAAGAAAAAACGACGGGACATAGACATGTGGCATTTTTATGACCAAAGAGTAATTCTAAGAGAGCTTCACTAGGTGATACTCAGGATATGCAATCGATTGTCTTGACTGAAATAGCTGCTACAGATAAAATAGTCTTACTGAAAATCACGTTAGAAAGAGTAACTTTTGCTGGGTGTGTGTTCAGGTGAACGGACGACTCTAACCGCCGCACTCACACCCTCAAAATTGTTTTGTTTATTTTTGAATTAGATAATAGCTGAATTTTTTTCTTCCGTCTGAATTGCAAATACACTATTTTCTTGTTCTTTTTGTGAAGAATTAAGAAAGAAAGAAGAAGAAAAAAGTTGCTTCTTGTATTTTAGCTCTAAGTTTGGGTGAACGTGAGTTTGGTTTTATTGGGAAAACAGTAACCGCCTAAAGGCCAAATGTGCATTATTTATTAATTTTTCTTGACAAAACATTGCCTATATCAACAGCTTCTGATAAAAGATGTTTCAGTCAATTATTGAGAATCAAAAGTTATTGTTGGCCTACAATGAAATAAAATACGCTAAACGGACTTACTGTTGCATACATTCATAAAGATCTTAATATAAATCAAGATGAAATATGGAAATTATATACATCCATGCATCGTCGTCTTGATTTTGGTGTTAGAATTTGAAATATAAATGCTATAAACAGAGACATTAAAAATAGATTAAAACACATCTGACTCAGGCTCAAAAATTTGGGTTTGATCCATATTTGATTAAAAAAATCTAATTGCAGTTTTTTGTGTTTTATTTACGTTATCTGTACTTAGTTGAACGAAAAACGTTTTGGTCTATCAGTAAAAACCTTGTCCATTTGTCTAAAAATTCTGGTTACGCTGCTGTATATCGACTATTATCTGATGTGAAGAATGACGAATTTTTTTAAATATACTGAAACTGAAAATGATTGAATGAAAATTTCACAGAAAATTAAGCTAAATTCTTTTATTCTGATTATATTTTAATTGATGTTTGACAGTAGTCTATTCTAGAGTTATTTACAAAACTAGCGCCATCTAAAATGGATTTTGGATCATATTTCAAGAATGGTTTGTTGTCAGATGTTGCGTCTCACATTTCTAAAATCAGAAAAATAAACTTGATTTTTGATGCCAGCGTTATTCAATCATTCTGAGTTTCACCAAACTGAAAATTGTCACACTCTTTATCACCAGATCACATACTAATACGGATTGTTGATTATCTACTCGACAAGCTTATTGTCAGGAAGTTTATGAGCGTAAGATTGCGCTTTAGAATTGAAAATATTCATTTTTTTAAAAGGAGAATCACACAAAAAAATAATTTATGTAATTAAAAAAAGAGACAGAGGGTATTTCTTGATTTGGTGTTTCATGCCAACGAACATCAGTCAATTAATGATGAAGAGATATATAAAATTCAGAAAATTCTAATATTTACTAAGGATAGTTGTTAAAAATGAAAATTATCTATATGTAAATATTTTAAAATAATGTAAAACAATTGATAAAAACTCGACGATTAATTTAGAATTGCTTTAATTACAGAACTTGAGCACAATAGTAAACAAACATTAATTATCGTATGATTCATACTATCAGCATGCATTCCAAACTCAACTGAATTCCCATGTCAACTGCGACATTTATAGAATTATACAAAATAAGAGGATTTTTAACCAAAAACTTGCTAAGTTAATTTTTGCTTAGCTCAAGTCATATTTATTTCTTAGAATCATAAGACTACAAACTGTTAATATGAATAACAACAGTTGTTGACTACAACAGAAAAACGATAAATTTTATCTAAAAGATATCATGGCTATAATTAATACAGGGTATAAAATAAAAAGATAAGAATGTCTCAATAAAAAAGACGAATTGTACTGACAGCAAATTAAATTGATAAAGTTTGTTGTAGTTATTATTATAAGAAGAATTTCAAGAGACTCTAAAGAATTACACCGAAAATATTACTAAGAGTTCGAAGAAGAACAGAACTTAAAGGTTGATTGGATGTAAAAATCTGCCTCAACCGATAGAAACTCCAAAGACACCTTCCGGATGAAAGTTTGTTTAACAATCCATTCAACATTATTATTCAACAAAAAGCGTGTTGTCATTCACATGAGAATATGTGAAATGATGTCTTAAAGATTTTCTAAGTGTTCAATATTGTTTTACTAGTTTTATCATACAATGAAAAGAACAACCACCAGAATCAGTCGGTTTTTCTTCTAGCCGGTGGTACGCAGCAGTAAACGAAAGAGCCGTCAACATGACGTACCAGTGGAAGAAACTAGTGATATAGTATCAATTTACCCCTTCGTCATATACATCATTGTCGTATTTCTGGTGGATATTCGACAATAAAATTCCTAGCAAAATTTTTATTGCTGTAATTCCGTCTTACCATACATTTCATGCCAGAAAAAATACACTTTTCAAAAATCTCCCTACGACCAAGGGTACTCAAAGGTCCGTTGAAGAAAAGTGGTGAACCGCGTTTGGCCTTTTTGTTTCAGCATTATTTTCATTGCTGTAATAATTTTTTGTTTCATTAAATTTTATTAAATTTTTTGCTGAATCAGTTTGTTTTCCTTAATTTGATTCATTTAGTATAGAGTAACTTGAATATATCTTACGGGGAAGATGAATACTACCTACCTTATAGAATCAGTCAGATAGATATATTTTAACAGGAATTTTTAATTCATTATTTCTTTCTCGAAGCTATTATGCCGGCTGGTAAAAGTATCTCAAAATAATGTGTAATGTAAACATTTAATAGAGAATATTTATATCAGATATAAAATTATTTATTTGGTATTTTTGTAAATTTATTTTAAAGCTGTTAGTATTTGCAATCTAAAATTATTATTTTGTGAATATCATTGACAGTGTTTCAAAGTTTTGAAGGTAGTGTCTGGCATAATTTGAGATATTTTCTTTTGTGCTTTTCATATAGTTGTGGTCAGGTGGTTAGTGAAGCAGACTGTCTGTTCCATTCCCTCTTTACATGATCTCACGAGTTCTGAATGAAGCTTTTCTTCCTTCTAATAAACATAGAAAATTGTTACATTGATGACATAACGTCGATTGAAAAATTTTCTTCTGTCGATAGCCCGTACAACCTTGGAGTGGTTTGGTTTTGGTTGGTAGATCCTGGATCGATAAAAATCCATGATCAGTTTAGTAAATCATTCTCGCCCTTTGTTAGATATCCAGAAGACTTTACTGGTCACAAGTGAAAAGGGTGTGGATGTGGATTAAAGTGGAAATAACATACATCCATACCACACCATCCACATCAACACCCTATCCGCAATATAATTGATTAATCAAATGACTATTAGATTTTGTCAGGATCATCAAGAAGGAGTCGAAATTAATATAATTCAATTCACCACCTTCAGACAATTCTTCACGAACGCCGTTTCTTTTGAATCAGCAGCTAAATCGATTGATCGGTGAAAAACGTTCATGACGGCATACCTGACAATGATGGTCTCTTACCAGACATGAGTTCCTTTCTTGTTCAACATATTCCATTCATGTAACAATAGAAGAACATTTCTCGCATGCAAAGAAGTTTGTAATGTGCTTTGACACTAGAATAGTTACAAATAGAAAATCTGATTTTGGATACAGTTTTTTTTATCTGGGTGATAAATAAAAATTCTTTATTGAAACTTGCACCGACTAATTTATACCGAGTTCCATAAAATGGTATAAGAGATTCTTTTCTAGCATTTTTGTCAGATGTGAGAATATGTTAGCGTTTGATAATAGAAAAGTAACGCCCGGGAGTGCGTCATACAAGAAGCGGGCCTCTGATGAACTATGCGCTAGACAGAGAGAGAATAGAAAAGCAAGAAATGCATACAGCAGTTATTGTGTGAAAGTTGAAAACAAAGAAAGATCACAATGGTATACATTGTTTAGCATGGACAAACGAAGCTGACACAGTTTCATCACATATAATACTTCCAGTTTTAATGCTGCGAACTCTCACTGAAATTTTTTAAGAGACATATCACAACTAATGCATAAATAATGATGAGAGTCTGAGCGAAGCAGAGCAAGCACCTATTTTTTATACAATGTATGAATGAAAAGACTAGTGTTGACAAGATACAGGCCTATATATTTTATCATCACTCTAGTAATAATCTTCTATTGACGTGTTATTATTTTGTTCTCATCGAGATAACAAAGGAGCAGTTGCTTGCATCTTATTCATCGAGCAACAATGAAGGACATAACATATAAAGTGTTTTACTCTGTGATTCAACGGACATGTGTGCTGCCCAATAGCTAAACACACGTTTTTTGTGACTAGCGATTATTTTGCACATGGTCTTTTGGCGAGAAAGCTCTCACAATATTCATAAAAATGAAATTCTGCTAGGCATTGGAAAACATACTTTCTCTGAAACGCAAAGTTAATTTTTGACATATAGTTTCGAGAAACAAATATCATTAACAAGATGTGATTTTTCAACCAAAATGTAAAGATTCGAAACAGATCATCATTTGTTTCTCAGATCTCTTGCTAAAGGTCTGGTCTTCCTTTTATTTTGTGTTTCAGACTTATCTATTATTGGTATTTAAACAATTGAGAAGCAGTGATAAAAATAGCACAATAATGATAATCATCACAAACCAGTTCGTGAGATGGCTATTACTAATTATTAGTACTTCTTTTAGTCCATTACGCATCGTCTCGTCTGAATCCGCTCAATTGTATGTTGTTCCGTTTCCATCACTTCTTGACAATAACAACGATGGTTCACTCACACATCCATACTCATCACTCCAACAAGCACTCGATCACATCGAACGTGACTACTATCATGTTAGGACTGCAGCGCATCGAACAACAATCAATTTATATCCAACACATCACTTCGTTGATACAATTCACTTGACACAAGCTCATAGTCACACACGACTGACCACAATGAGCGACATAGACACTACCGTTTACGAAGAACTAGCTGCTCGTGAACACACGCATTACCGATTAACAACTGCATCTATTAGTGGCGGAGTGCCTGTAACTGGTTGGACACGAATTAGTGAAAATACCTATAGTGCTGTCGTTCCATCGTCACTATTCGTCAATCAATTATTCGTCAACAATAAGCGAATTGTTCGTACACGCGTTCCAAGGAATCATTCAGATTATCTTCAATATGCTGCACCTCTGAATGATTCAACTAAAGTACGGTACGGTTTTCAATATGTCAAAGGACAATTTGATTACAAGTCATTAGCCGATGCCATGGTGGTTATCTATCACAGTTGGACAGAGTCACATCATTACATTGATCGACTCATTACAACAAACAACACCATTTTATTTACTAATCCATCCCAATATGCAATTGGAGCATTTCCAACTCAAGCACAACGACGATTTCATATTGAAAACCTTTGTGAAGCGCTTGTTCCAAACTCTTTTTGTTTTGTTAATGAAACAAAAACTGTTTATCTTATGACTGATGGTTCTTATGATCCAACAAAGGTAGAAATTATCACATCCGTCAATGAAATTGTTGTATCACTCGCTAGCAATGATTCGACTAATCCGGTTGAAGATGTTATCATTGATAATGTGGCCATACAGCATGGTGCATGGAATATTGGTCGCACCGAACAAGCCAACTCTGCTTCAGCTGCATTTCTCACATCTGTCGGGTTATTTATTGCCAATGCATCGTCAATTCTTATCTCAAATGTTGAAATCAGTCATACTGGTTCATACGGTCTACGAATAAGAGAAGGAACGTCAAATGTCAATATTATCAATTCACTAGTTAATGATACAGGTGCAGGCGGTGTTTGGATAGGTGATTGGATGACAGATGTATCCATTTTAGCAAATTCAAATACAATCTTGTCGAACGAAATTAGTTACGGTGGCAATGTCTTTCCAAGTGGAGTGGGTGTTCTCGTTTTTCGTGCATTTGACATTGTCATTGCTGACAATGTTATTCATCATCATCGATACAATGGGATATCTGTTGGTTCTCAAAATGGCTACACTCAATCATGGACATCAAAGATTTTAATCTTAAAAAACTATATTTATAACATTGGACAACATATTCTTTGTGATCAAGGAGGTATTTATATAATCGGTGTTCAGCCAGGAACAGTAATCCATGGCAATGTCATCAAGAATGTATTCAGCTATGCTACCTATATGTGGGGTATTTATCTCGACGATGGTGCATCAGATATAATTGTTTCCAATAATGTTGTATACAATACCGGCTGGAGTTCCATGTTTCAACATTCTGGAGCGAACAATACAATCATTAATAATGTATTTGCACGTGCATCGTTGATCCAACCACCACAGTCTGATGACCTCATGCCAGATGGTGATGTTCGTGTTCAACGCGCTGAAAACCATACTTCATGGATATATACACGCAATATTGTTTATGATACATTCCAAGGGACCAATCACTCTGCGTTCAAATCCGATCCGCATGTCATTGCATCATTTAGTAACAATGTGTATTATAATCCATATGGTACTCCCTTACTATTTGGATCACAACAAACATCATTTTCTGAGTGGCAAAAAACTGGACAAGATAACGATAGCATCATAGCAGATCCATTATTTGCCGGCGACGTCAATCAATGCGATTTCTTTACTGTTCAACCGAACAGTCCTGCGGCAAAACTTGGATTTGTAAATTTGACAAAACTTTCGAAGTGGACTCCCGGATGCGATGTAGATGATGGGATTGACAGCAATCAATTTTACCATTGGTGAACGAGTTTATTACTGATTTTTTGACAATACATTCTTTGTCATTGAACTTGTTTATAGTGAATTTTACCTTTCTTTTTTCTAGTGTGGCGGATGAGGAATTATTAGTGTTATAGAATCGTCTATTCAGTTGTTAACAAACTTTTTTGCATTTCTGTGAGTTGAAAATAGTTTAAAATTTGTTTGCTTATTTTATGTGGTGTTTTTTGTTTTAAATTCTTTCGCTTTTTGATAAGAATCTTTACCTATAACAAGTAACACTTGTCTCTACTATTTGCTTGATCCTCAACTGAATTCATTCCAACGAACCTGCTTTTCAATCAACAAACTCGGCGACACCTTTCCGCAGTGTCAAAATAACTACGATGAATCATGGATGAACACAGGAATCTTGATTTCGAAACTTGTTTGTCAAAGTCCATCGAAAGAGAATTGTTATTTTATTTGATAATGTCTGAGTGGAAAGATCGATGATGACGCCGAATAATGACAGTAAAACATTGATGACTGTCGATTTCACAAGAAATTCCTTTCGTAGCTATCGTAATACATTCAGAAAATTTGATTTGATAAAAAATAAAGACATTCGCATGTGTCGACAATGGTGAACATGTCTCGACATTCGATGGCAATGTCGAACAGAGCAATGCATCAATCTTTCAAAATCACGAAGTAATATTTCGTCAATTGCTTTTTCTGCTATTGACTGCATTGTCTGAAATGAAACGTACTAATTTTTCTTTCAAACTCAGACGATAAAACATCAGCTGTATGACAATAGTGTAATGATACAAACGATAATAAATATCATTTTAATTCATCATCGTCATACGTGTGTAATATACTTAGGATTGACCAAAAGTTCTGATCAGTGTTTGAAATTTTATAAAATAGTTAATATTGAGTTTTATTGCATGAATGCATAGTAGAATACCTCATCTATGTTCAGTTAAAAACATGATTTCAACTTTTAAAAAAAGTTATTAAATATGATTAATGAATTTAATTGATAGTATATTAAAGTTCGGACTATTATGGAAACAGTTGCAGAAATAATCTGCGAAGAAATTGCAAAAGCATTGAGACCTGACGCTCCATCATATTCAACAATCAGAAGATCTGCAAAATGTTTTCGTGAAGGAAGAGAGAATGTCAATGATCACTCTCAATCTAGTCGTCCGATTTCGGCACATATACAGATCAAAATATGGAACGCTTTTCACAAGTTATCGAAGATGATTCACATTCAACTTGTGATGATATTATAGCTGAGACATCTCTCTCTTATGGTATAATAGAACGAATTATTAATGATTGTCTAAAGACGAAAAAAGTTACATCACGTTGGATCGCTCATCAACCTAATGACGAACAGAAGCAAAAACCACTTACAATTTGTTGTGAAAATTTAGCAATATTTTGACATGGAACATGAAAATTCTGTGATTATAATCATTCTTATATTACTAATTATTTAACAAAAAAATATATTGAAATAATGCCACATTCAACCGATCTTGCACCATGTGACTTTTGGCTAAATGATTATATCAAAAGTAATTTAACTGACTAAACAAACGTAGAATTGATAGATCAGGAGATTTCCAAGATAGTGAAGAATATTCCAGAAAAATAATTCAAAAAAGAATTTCGATAATCTGTTAGAAAGAACGAAATATTGTATGAATAATAATGGGAACTATTTTGTGCATTTAATAAAAAGAAGCTAAAAAATATTTCTATTCGATGTTATCAGAACTTTTACTCAATTCAAAGTATTATAGACTTTATCTAAAAGAATGTCACAATTAAATGCAAGATATAGTTATTATATACATTATTATAGACGAGATATTCTACTATGTATTGATGCAATAAAACTCTTAATATTAACTATTTTATAAGATTTTGAACACCGTGATCAGAAGCGTTTGTGAATTCTAAGTAAATTATCGACTCATCAAGGCATAAAGAGAAATAAATATTCTTGAATAAACCTACACGTATAAAAAAAAAGTTGGGCGTTCCGTACATAGAACATTCAATAGTGCTCGCTTTATCGACCAGTAAGAACATAAGATCGTAGTGAAAAGTGTTCTCTTGTGTGATTGAGGTTATCAAACAAGAGAAAACAGGTCCAATTATCCCTCTCAGTCATTTGATCACTTGTCTTTTTGCCAACTAATTTCTCATTAAACAGTTTTTTTCAGCAGCCTAAGAGTCGTCACAAGCATTTCTGATTGTCATTGTCCGTTAGTACTGTTCCGATTTATGTTTCGACAAGTGAAAAAAACACATACTCTTACTAAAGTTTGAAACTTGTATTTATCTTCAAACGTCTTTTTTGTGTACTCAAAAAGTGAGTACACTACTAAAATCGGTCAGTGTGTCCGTCCGTCCGTTTATCCGATAACTTTCGAAAGGAGAGTCGGATCGTGATGAAATGTTCTACACAGTTCAG